TTGGATTTACATAAAAAAATGAAGGAAGATAACTCTTTTAGAGTGCTGCCTTCTTCAATAGATTTTTTTTTGAAAGAAATTGTTGAATGAGATTAAAAAGAAGTTTATAAAGAATAGAATGAATACGTTTTACACTTAATCAGATGCAAATATATGATATGGTTTTATGAATCACGAAAAATGAGCTTTCTGCAATGCTTAATTATTTTTAATTTTTCTATATAATTAACATAATAAATAANAATTATTTTTAATTTTTCTATATAATTAACATAATAAATGCTAAGTTAAGTAGATGAAAAATTCTCAAATATTTTGTTATATTATTAATAAATTATGTGTTTACATACTTAGTAGAGTAATGGATTTTTATGTTATACGTCATTAATGTAAATTATTTTAATTTTATAAAATTGAACTTTTTAAAAAAATTAATACATTTTTATTTAAAAAACAGATACAGCTAGTTTATTAAATTTTAATTAATGTTATCTTAAGATAAAAACAATAAACATTAAAATTAAAATATTATCAACAACAATAGTTTAAATCTAATTTGANAAAATATTATCAACAACAATAGTTTAAATCTACTTTGAATTATATTACACATGTATTAGAGTAGTGCCGCGCGTGGGTATTTTTAAAATGGGCACTAAAGACCTGTTTAATTTTTAAATACTTTTACTAGTGCTAAAATTATAATTGGGCAATGTGGGGGTGGAGGTATATATCCTCTTTAGCATTCCATCCTTGAGTATTAGAAAGGTTCTTAAAAACAAAGTTTTGAAATCCGACATTCTCACCGTCCTAAATTGTTTTAGTTCATACACAAATAAATCGAGCAAAACTTGATTCTGATTAAGCAATGTTAACACGTGTAGTAAGAGGGTTGAAAAATTTAATAATTATGTTAGTTTTTCAGTGTTTATCAAACACTGTTTATCAAAAGCTATGATTGACATGGCCAAATTTATAGAAAAAAATGATAGATCAAGTTATTCATTTGTAAAAAAATTTTTATTTAATTTTCATAAATTTGTTTTATGAAATAAGTAAGAAAAATTAGTCGTCGCCATTTAAATTTTTTATGTTAGGGTAGATTTTTATCCTTTTACATTAGGGTTGAACTTTAATTTTACTCTTAAAAGATGCATTTAATTAATCAATTAGCCTTAAAAAAAAAAAAAATTAATAAAAAAATCAGTAGCGTCTCTAAAAAATTGATGTATCCGAAATTATTGATCATACTATAAATATGTAGATTTACTTGCTATTAATAACAAGGCTCATAGACTGGCACACAACAAAAAAATATGTTAAATGTTTGCTGTGCGTTAGACGATTAGAGCATATCAAATATTGTCTAGGCTGCGTTATGATCACATCTTATATGTGACGTTTAAAAGACGCATGTATGTTATTAGAGCAAAAACTAGAGAATAATCTATTTATTAGCCACATTGACATCAAATCTTTAAAATAATTTTATGTGGAATTCCTAAACGAAATTTCCTCAGGTAACTTTAATAATTAATTTATATTCTCATAATTAAAAATAAAATAAAAAAATTTGAATAATTATATTAATGTTACTAATAATATTTGTGATATAAATGATGTTAAGTGATGTTCTGCACTTGTAAATGATCGTAGTGATATTGTACAGTTTTCTCTGAAAATATTGCGAAATAAATATCCTTTATCAAATTTCTTTATTAGTGTACTGTAAAATTATTTCACATACATTAAACTCCCTATAATTTTTTTTTTATTCATATTTTACTTCTTTAACATATAAAATAGTAAAGAACTTTTCCATTAATCGAACTAGTATAACTTTAAAGTTCATAACTTTATATTTAATTTTTATGTTAATTGTGTCTAAGATGCTAACAGAAAAGTTATCTCATGTAACTATAAACGTTGAAATCGGCGTAGATGACAAACAGTAGCCGTTGCGTCTTTGCCCACGCGCCAAAAGTGACCTTACTACCCTCTTCCGGCATAACGGATAAAATTGGTTTATTCTTGCCGCATATAAACTTGTGTTGCTCCAACTCTTGATGACCTCGAAGAATATTCTTTTTAGACTGATCATCAAAGCTGGTGAAGCAACGTCTGAAAGAGTATATGTGGCATTTGTGTTGAGTTTTTTGGTTGCACACGAGCCTCGAAAAATCTGAAATGTACGCGTAATGATACTCGTCAGAGTCACCGATGTACAACAGGTCAAAATGATTTTGTTGCTCTTGGTCGGCGACTCTTAGCGGATACACCGACCACTTCATCTTAACGTTGTCCCGTTCCAAGCCGTACACGTTAGGGTTACGTTGTTCAAATATTTTAATTTGGGACACAGGTGTGGGGAACGTCAACCCCGTGAAATCATACCTGTGTT